ATGATTATGAACTTCCGCTTTTTCAGTTCGTGGAAATGTTTTTGGAAGAAAACCGCGAAAAAATTATTACTGTTTTGTTGAAAATTCGCTGCGAAAAGCTGCAAAAAGGTTTCCAAAAATGTTTGCAAAGCGGTTAAGAAGGTGAGTGTATTGCGTACAAAGAATTGCTTAATAAAAACTTTGGTAAAACCGGAAACACCCGAAATTTTAAAGAAACTTGAAATACCTTCAGAGCGTTGAGGGTTGAGAATTTTCCTGTAAACTTTTGCTCGTCGGATCGTAATCCGAATCCGATCGGAATCGTCGGAAAATAATGGTTTTCTTGCGTGTGTTTTAACTCTTAGTTTTGTGATCGGTTTTTGAGAAAACGTTAATGATTTTCGAGGAAAAGAAGAGAAATTTATTCTCGTTTTTGTCCCGAATTCGATGCTGAAGAAAGTTAAAAATCCTACAAAACTATAAATTTATCTTGCAAAAGATCGTCAGTATTTTTAAGTGGAACTACAAAATAGAGCGTTTTTAAGTTGAAAGTAAAGCAAAAAAAATCAGTCAAAACTAAAAAAACACATTTTTTTAGCAAACTCTACATCCTTCAGAGGAATGGAAGAATGAGTAACTTTTCTAAAATTAGAAAATTCTGAAATTTTGAAGAAACTTTAAAAATATCATTAATAAATTGCCCTTAAAATAAATCTAAAAACAACTAAAAAAATAATCGTCAACGTTTTCCCAGCAACGAAACTGAGTTACTGCGCCGGTTGTTGACTGCATGAAACACAGTGGCGACAATAGGACCAAAGCTCCTCCGACTCGCCATTATGCGGCGAAACTATTTGGCGCCAACGGATCTTTGCTGTGATCTGTATGACTCAAGTCCAAGTTTTAATTTGAAATTATTGAATGATATAAAACATTTTGGGATTAAATTAGAAACCAGCTTTAAAAATGACTTTTTCCTTTATAAAATGCCTCTCGGTAAGAATTAAGACAGCGAAATCGAGATAAAATTCAGCACTTGATAAGAATTGTTCTGCGCAATGGGAGGTGGTGGAGAGGTGATGTCTGACTGTGTTTAAGTACAGAAAAATTAATTGTTTTTAAAAACCGACAAATTTGCAAAAAACTATATTAGAAAAACGGCAACAATGTTTTTTGTTTTTCAAGGTAATCTGCCTAATTAACATTACGTGAATACCTGTTGCTTCGTAATTATTGAAAACTCCGGTAACCATGTAATTATACAGAAAGTGACAACAAGATAGACAAGCATAAACGGTAAATTCAACAGGAATCGTTGAATGACGAAACCTGTTTCGAAACTCAGAACATCGACTTATTAATTTGTTTACAAATTACAAAAACATATATTTGAGTCGGTAACTCCAAGCAAGTGCTTGAGTAATCACCTTATTATGCACTCTTTTCGAGTAGCTTCTCGTATTCGGTTAATTAACTCTTGTTCAATTTGTACCGGTGTTCAGTAATCCATTGGTTTAACGTGTCCTTGTATTGTGTGTATCGTACAAACGTGGTAGGAATGTAGCCCTTCCTCGGTATTTATTTGGTGCCTGGGAAAGTGTCAGTTGTTGTGCAATGTTCTGTGTGCCCCCCGAAAGGCTCTTCTGCAATTATGTCCATTACTTGTTCCTCTGTGTCTGCAATTATGTCCAACCCGAACGTCTATTGTCATCCACTATCTTCCTGGAACCACTCTCCTCGCCCTTTGTTGCCGTGAGTTCTTTCAGCTTCTGCTATCGTACTGTAGCATTTCCCCTGAACTAATCGCATATCCGCAAATTCCTGAAATGAAAATTCAAAGTAAGTCACAGTTTGACAAATTATTGTTATTATTGACAAGGGCTATACACCTATAACTATCTGTTAATGACAAAAAACATCATTGCCGCTTAGACTTTTCATCAAAAAATTGTAGAAGAGAACTTGTTTAAGATCAAAAATTTTCGTAATTTGAAGCAAAGATGGTAATTTTTCTTTTTGAATGCTTAAGTATTCCAATATGCCAATTTCGAATCACCTTGTATAAGTAATTATTAATGTAATTGATAATTAATTGTGTATATTTTCCTTTCCTTTTGAATTAAATTAATAATTAATGCAATTAATAATTAGTTAGGTACTATAAATAAACTAAGTATTTAAGAAATGTTTTAACGCTTCATCTAGTGTGACATTTAAATGTAAATTTTCCAATAGAACATTAAACTACTACCTTAAAGACTTACTCTCATGTCTCTAGCTTAACTGGGCCCCTTTTTTACTCGAAATCTTTGCCTAAAAACTACCTACGTATCTGCTTATAATTTTATCTTTGATTCTATGGCATGTAGGCACTTCTAGTTCGATTTGAGTAATTTCCGTAACGAAAAACAACTTTAAATCTACATTTTGAATACATACAATTTCATAAAACTTTCTAAAAATTCTTTCAATTTTAATGAAAAAATTTAATACATGCTAATGGCAAAAAAATTAAGTGCTATTTCTATAAAACTTAATTTGAGTAAACTTGCTGAAGTTTTTAATCAGGGTTTCTTTAGATCCTAATTCCGAAATAAATTTATTACACGTGTTTTATGGAGCAAATAAATAGCATAATGAATTGATCTCTCTAAAATTGAGATTAAAATCACGGGGAATATTTTCATGTATTATTACGGAATTGTAAAGAATTGTGTTGCTGGAGACAGTGCTTAAGAAATCTGAAAAATATTCTGTGTCATCTTCATCAGAGCTGGAACCTTTCGGCCACTTCAAATATTGTGAAACGCAAATGAGTTTTAAATTATTTTTAACCGAAGAGCATTAGGAATTACTTGCTGACTCCGTAGAACACTAAGAAGATTTTCCAAGACTTGTGAAAATCGCCCAGTCTAAACAAATCTATAGCCATTTTCGTCAACAAAAGTTTTTGTATGTCTAAAATCGATTAAAATTCCAGTTTAACAAGGCTTCCATAATTTAATAGCTTTTAAAGATTTTTCATTGTTTAGTTTGCTTAACGCATTGATAGTGGATCTTGAAGTCATTAAATAAAACCACTCCTCACAGGCTTCAATAAACCAAGCTGTTGTTAAATTCTCTGGTTTAATCTGTTCAGATATTCTGTTTGATATTGTCTAAGGGTCAGCCCTTAACAGTAACAAAATTCAGACTTAATTAACTGAAAAATACACCATCTTACAGACCAATAATATTTTATTGCTCGCACACTAGACCAACTGTTCAGTGTGATATAATATTGTCCAAAGGTCGGCACTTAATGGCAAGATTATCATAACTCATTTAGTCTACTCACAAATATGATGACCCTATAAAAGTCAGCCAGGGTCAGTAAGGGCGACATAATTCAAGTTAAACGTGCATAACTGTTGGTAAATAACTTTCGCCTCAAAATGGCGATTCTAGTCACGAGGAGTCTTAACCAATGGAAAAGTGGCCTAACCATTGCCACTGTGATGTATACAGTCACTGTACCCAGGCCTAGTCCCCGTTCCTCCGCCACCGGTGGTTCCATCAGTCGGATTTGTTATGCGTTAATTCGCATTCATTCGTCGAGTCAATGAATTTCAAACAAATGCATTCGGTTTTGGTTACGGATTATCTGCATGGAAAAACAATGCAATGTTAATTGAAACTTCAAATATGTGGCATTTTGCCTCCACATTTCCATATGCATAAAGCGAGCTCTATTTATTTTGTTTGCCAATTCGGATATTTTCGTTATTTTAAAAATAAATTCTGATTTTACTAATGCAATCCGGATAGAGCTCCGGGGCGCCCATCACCCATCGAGACAGCAGTCTGCCTTGTGACACGATGTTATCAATTATTTAATACCGCTCAGAAAGCCTGACAAGGTCTGGAACTAGTTACATTTCTGACGTTTTGATTGGCGTCGGCATTCCATAATCAGTTTCTTCTTCCGGCCTGGATACACACCATAAATGCCAACCAGCTGGATGACTATTATTCCCACATCACGCGAAGAAACGAATTTATTTCTGGTGGGAGTTGGAACCAAAAAAAAAGGGGTTTTCATTTGGATGAAGCACGTGCAACAGCCCTCAGAGCGTTCGCATTGTGATTTAGACATATCGTGGCATTTATCCACTACAACCCTCGTTGTGTATGTCGAGGGTTTATCCAGACATGAGCCCGAGTGGAAATCAAAACAGCTGACAATCCAGATTGTGCCGGCACGTCAGCACACCCCATCGAGTTGAGATATTCTCATTGCTGTATTGATTTATCCAGACGCCGGTAATTCATTGCCCATTGTTCCAGCACGATAATCCTTGAGGATGATCGGGAATAAAATGACTATCTTTTTAAGTTTGGGTAGTACAGCGCAAACATGTCCCCGGGGAAGACGCCAAAGAATTTATCGTCCGGACAAGGTATTGCCACAGAACGTGGCGTGGGATTAATCAGATAAATCAGCCATCGGGCCAAGTATGGCAGGATTGGGCAAAACAAGGAAATAAAATCGACCGTATAACGGACGTTTTCCGATTGAGCAGCGACATATTTACTTTTATATATACATGGGGTTGTAAACGTACGGAAACAGACGGACTGGCATATAAAAGTCTAATACCATTAGCTCTGGAAGCAGGAAAGTTCGAAGGCGCCATCGGAAACTTTGTCATATGCGAATAAAATCGCCTTTGTTTTGTTCTGGTTTGTTTTATCTTTTCGATTCTTAACTGTTTGTTTGGTTAAAAGTAGCAAACCGGTGGATTATTTAACTAAACAGTGTTTAGCCTGGAATGGCAAAAGAGAAATGCCGCCGACAACAAAGAAGAAAATAATCGAAATTCCTGTCTGGATAAATAGACACAAATTCCGCGCTGCACAAAGCTGCACTGGACAACATTTTTAATTTGTCGGACTTAATTTAATAGCAGCCAAACAAACAAAATTACCTGCAAAATCTTTATTTTCCCCTGGAAACATTGCAATTTGCACAATCCTGTTAACTAGAAATGGTGATTCTTGAAATTGAGTTGCAACACGTGCAATCGCACAGGCACAGAATAGATAAAGCACACTCACATTCAAATAAAAGCTATTTAATTAAACGAAAAAAGTGAGAGTTTTACAACGGATTTAAGTTAAATTTAGTTGGATGGATGGGTATTTAGTGAAGGAGCGACTGTTTCAGCAGCAAGACTAAAACATTTCTTGGGCTGCCTGGAACCATGATGGACTGGATCTTGCTGTTCCTCCCAAAGTCCTATCGGCTTACCTCGTGGTCCCACATTTTCCGTCCGCCCTCCAACAAATCCCCAAATTTCTCGAGTTCTCTTGGTCATCCACTCACACCATCCGGAACTACCCATTGAAAACTTCGTTTTAGTCACTTGAGAAGCCCTGAATTTTAAGTAAAATATGAAATTAACTGACATTAATTCCATATTCTCAAGTTTTCTGATCGCTAAATCTAGTGCCCTCTAATGAATTTATTTATGCAAAAGGCCAGTGATGAAAAAATGTGAATACATTTTAACCATTTTAAATAGAGTTTTGTTGGTACTTTTATGACGTTTGTGTGGTTTTTCTCAAGCTACCCCATTTTCCCTGCCGAAAAGGCGCTTCGATAAAAATACGAAATAATTTCCATATTTTTCCGCAAACAAAATGTACATACACTCAAGAGCTTTTCTCGATTCCCGTTTTCCCCCCGACCTGCCAAATATTCGCTTTTTAACACATTTTTCCGATACACGGCCGGGATGGAACAATATCAATATCGCGTTACGCTGTTTGTTTACAATATGCCGCCATCGAGGGTGTAAAATTGCCAAAGTTACACTTCTTTGACGGTTTTATGCTTTTGGTGGTGCATACTTGAATACGCTTTGTATTCGGGTGTGGAAAAACTTTGGCTTCCAGCGGTGTAATTTGCCGGTTTTGAAGATAGCTGATTTAACACCTATAGTCAAACCGAAGCCATCGGCCCCCAAAAGGGCTGTCGCGAAAAATATCGGCCACTTTTATCATCCTTAAATACTGCTTTGGTGCCGACTTGCACTAAATAAAAACGTATTATGTTCGCCGGCAACTTCGGATATGAATTTAATAAAAGAATATGCCCGATTTATAACTGGATGGAACGGCCCCGGATGCGTCCTTTATTTTACGGTATTCTTGCACCCCGGTTATGACGCTTTACATTTTCACGGCGCGCTCTATCCGCTATTTGCTTTATTTGCACCGTTTATTAAATCTTCGATTTTCCACCGAGTTCCCCGGGCATTTTCTCCAAGGTTCCAAGGCGAACGCTTCGGACTTTTCAGCTCTTCAATTTACCCATTAGGAATTTGGATAGAACGCATTTGGTAAACGGCCAAAGCAAACCCTTGCACGCTCTGATTATAAGACTTCGAAAAAAATCAGAACTCGACTGAAAGGTTTTAGCTGTTGTCTTAGTTCGTTTAAAGAAAATCCACTATTAAGCTGTTACACAGAAAATACACTTATTGGGTCCAAGATGTGGAAAAATACTGGCCAGATTTCAAATGGGAAAGACACACTCGAAAGATACTTTAGTTGGATCTAAATGAGCTTCATATGGTTACCGAACTAAACTAGCAAGAATTGTGGTAGAAGCCAATAGATCTTCTGCATTTATTGAGTTCAAACTCTTTTCGACCCACCACTCGCTATTGAAAGGCAACAGAGACTCAAGACTTTTAAAGTTCTCAAAATGCTCCAAGGGTGAATCTCGAAACCTTAATTTCCTTAAATCCGCTCAAAGTTTACAGAATGTTTAAATTCGAAAAAAGTGGAAGAAAAGGAATTTATTGATCTTTCAGAAACACTGCTAATATGTCGAGAATTCGTAAACAGAGAAGATTCATCTTGAAACTTTCCTAATGCCAGTTTGTAAAGTCTATTAATCTCAAAACGACCAAAATTTCTCCCATTTTTTCAAGTTTCAGATACATAGTGTTCGTCGTTGACATCTACTGTGAGTTTTTTTGAAAAATCGTCAAGGGAAAGAAGCTGAACATTTTTTTTTCTCGAAATGTTCCGAACGCAAATTTCTATACAACCTTCAGCTCAAAACAATCCAAATTTCAGAGGTTTTTCCAAATTTAAGAAACGGTGTTTTTGTCTCTCAAATGTACCTACTTTCAACTTTCTCAGAATTTGCCAGGGTAAATGAGCCTTGAAGAGTTTTTTTTTAAACACCCCAAACGCAAATCTCTGGATGGTAAATTTCTCAGGATTGAAAAATTCGCAAAAAAAACTAAAGGAAAAGATGCTTTTATCTTTCAAAAGCACTTTAAGCATCTTAAAACGTTCCAAATGCTAATTTGAGGAGACTGTTTCTCTCAAAACGACCCAAATTTAGAAATGCTACGGAGAAAAATAGTGTTTTTGTCGCTAAAATTAACTCTCATCGTTTGGAGAACTTGGCAATGTGAAGAAGCTACAAGAAGTTTTTTCTCAAATCGTTCCAAATGCAAATATCTAGACATTCTTCCGCTCTAAAGTGCCCAAATTTCTCGAGTCTTTCAAACGCTGAAACAACAGAACGAAACTAGCAGTTTGAAATTTCATAATTTCAGATTTTTTCTTTTCCTCATACAAAAAATTGAAGATTTAAAATATCAATATTTCCTAAGGAATAGAAGATATTTGAAATTTTTTGGTGTAAATTTGGAATAGAGCGCCTTGTCTCAAGGATATTTCGAAAGCTTTTAGGCACAATTTTACTCTTTCCATTGGAAACCGTCCCAACTCTTAAATTTAAGAAAATTTTCAATCAAATGTTGTTTGGAGAACTCCTCAATATGAAGAAGCTACAAGCAGTTTTTTCTCACATCGTTCCAAATGCAAACCTCTAGACACTCTCCTCATCAAAAATGGCCAAATTTCTCAGGTCTTTCAAAAACTGAAAAAACAGCCAGAAAATAGCCTTTGATCTTTCCAAGGCAGTTTCAGAATCCCGAGAATTCGGTGAGAGAAACTAGCAACCAGGAGATTCATGGTAAAGATGTGAAGCTCAAAACGACTCAAATTTCTTAGGTTTTTTAAAATTCGAGAAATTTGGGAACAAAAAATGTTTTCGTTTCCGAAATGCACTTTTAACTTTTCGATACTTTATCAAGAAAAAACGACTTCGACGAAAAGTTTTTGGTCAAAACGTTCCAAGCGCAAATCTCTAGACACTTTAGCTCAAATTGACCAGAGTTTCTTACATTTTTCAAATTCTGAAAGAAAATTTAAAGAAAATAAGCCTTTGACCTTTCAAAAGTGTCATTAAAATGTGGAGAATTTTGGGAGTTGAGTCAAACTGTTTTTGTTCCACCACTCCACAACGATTGGGCTGATTTTAAATTCGAAAATCGTATTCAAAAGCCACTTAAATTGGTGGGATTTTCAGTTTGGGTGAACTAAATCTGCCGGAATCGGATCATGCCGCGAATATATTTTCAGTACAGTTTTGCAGATGTGGCAACTCCTGTAGATTGTCACTTACCATGACTGTGTCATCCGCGTATCTCACTGCCGATATTTTGATTCAAAACACAGACTACTTCAGAATTCGAGGCAGTTTTCAGTCGTTTTTCGACATTGACCATGCGAGCTACTCTGGCTCCGCCCCATCAAGTGTCTGGCTCCATCCCCGAGCCCACTCAGAACGTGCAAGTTTCACTTCTGACATCAGCCACTTGATGTTCGGTCTGAAAATCGCGTTCGAGCCAAAGCGGGCACGTAATCCAAAGAAAAGCTGAGACGTTTTGAACAATAATTGTGTCTCGCGTTTCCCCACGGAATTTGCACCGCTTAAGTTTGCAACTAATTCTGACATTGTTCTGCGCCACCGACATTCGAATGCCATTGGGATTAGGGGATTCGTACGTGACACGTCACAAACGTACATTGATGGATGCATGCGGCTCGCATTGGAGAATTGGATAAAAGTGCATATTCCCGAGCACTTCTTGTCTTTACAGCCGGAGAGTTTTAGCTGGGTGGCGTTGCGTGCCCTTAAATGGCCCCCCTTGATTTCGGCGGCTCTGGATTGGAAGCGATCCGTGGTTTCCAGAGCTTTCCAGGGACCGGAACATGCCCGCACGAAGCCCAATGCAATTAGCCTTGTTGTCTTGCACCCATTGTTGGTTACGGGCACTGCTCGTGACCGGAATTTTCCCCACAAAACTGAAAGAGACACTGCCGCTGTTTTTCTACTATCATTATATTTAAATTTTAATTAAAACAACGGAAAAAGCGTCGTTCTCCACTGGCAATACCTGGGCACTTTATCGGGCAAATCCGCTGTGTTAATTTGACATAATTCGCAAGATATCTGCAAAGGCGCCCAAAGTTACACGCGCCTGGAAAACGGGTTATTGTATTAAACGGTCCTAATTTATGCTTGGAGGCGGCAAGGCCGTCCCCCTTCCCAAAGTACCAAGGGCGGCTGGCTGTTTAGCTGAAAAGAGCTACACTTTCGGTTCGATATTAGAACGGTTAACTGTGTTAAATTAAGCGGACCGACTTCAAAGGTGTCGAACCCATAGGCGAACATGTCTTCGTCAAAGCGACCAAAGCTTTTGCGTAAAGCCCGCTTAATTGGGAGACATTTTTAATTAAGCGCGAAAGGAGCCGATTGATTATGGGGTTGGAGGTTTGGAAAATAATCTGCAAGTGAAGGCGGATAGTGCGGTGTCTTTGTGGGAGATTTTTCTTTGCTTCCGAAGGGAAACGGATACAAAAATATCAAAGGGGCAAAGTTGTGTTTTTACATATACAAAACTGAGGGTTTTTTCGATTTAAAATCGCCCTAACTTTGGAAAAAAAGTTGATATACCTAGTTGGTATCGCTGAGATCAACGAAAAACTGTCTATTTACATTTGGAATAGAACAAAATTCACACATTTAAGCACACGTTTGTTAAACGATCTTCCAATTTAATCAAAATAGATGTTTATGCCCAAATGTTTCGGAGTATTTGCAATGTTTATTAATAATTCGTCTCGGGTCTCTATCGTTTCTTCATACACTAAAGACTTCAGGTATTCCTATGCAGAAAATCTAGAGGATTCGAATCCGGACTTCGTGCAGACCATGGGAACTGACTTACCTGATCCTTAACAATTCGGAAAGTTTGTATTGAAAGTTGTGTTAAACCGTATTATTTTTACCACATAATTCAGCCATTGAAGTTTTTATCTTGTATCTAAACGATTCTTTAAAACATTTCAAGTTTCATTGTTTTATGGTCACCTTTTCTAGAAAAGGATCTTTTTACATGCTGGGAATACAGGGTGTCCCATAAGCATATAATCAAACGGATACTGCTTTGGGTCAAAAGATGACGATCTGACCTAACTTTTATTCAGGCAAAATGTCTGGC